CTAGGACCATCAAGGGAGAAGAGCAGAAGCAGAATGCGCGATCTTATCCAGAGAAGCAGCGACGCCAGAGACAGAGGCAGAGATGAAGACGTGGAGAGAGGGAACAGCTGAGGACTGTAGACTCATGGGAACAGAAGGACTGAGAGCTGGCTGCTGGGAGGCAGACTTGCAGAATGTGCCCTTTGGTGGTGTAAATTATTATATATGTAAATTATATATACAACTAAAATGAATAAAAAGAAACACTGTTAACTGATGGTACATGGAGGGGATTATAATCATTGTAAAGAAACAAAGTATATGATTTGTTAAATGTAAAACTGATGATCTGCTCTGTAAACTTTCACTCAACTTACAATATAAACAACAACAAAACAAACAAACAAAAAACCACCTTGAGGTCCAGTGCTTATCCTACAGTGCCACACCATGGTTCCCAGTATGTTGTTGTTGTTGTTAAGTGTCATTGAGTCAGTTCCGACCCATAGCGACCCTCCAGAGGATTTCCAAGGAGTGACTAGTGAACTTGAACCACCAATCTTGCAGTTCAAACTGACTTTGCCATCTAGTGCATTAACCCACAGTGCCACACCAGGACTCCGGTTCCCAGTATAGTGGTACCAAAAATTCAAGTGTTAAAAGAAAAGGGGAAATTGGAGGATTAAGTGTGAACACTAAAAGAAGTTAAAGGAGTTTCAAGAAGACCTAAGAATAGGGGGTATCACCTTTACAAATATCTAGCTGAGGAGCAGCTGGTGGGTTTAAACTGCTGACCTTGTGGGTCAAACTGATCTTGCAGTCCACTGCACAACTGGACTATGGATTTATTGGGGAGTCCTGGTGTGGCACTGTAGGTTAAGCACTGGATTGATTATTGTAAGGCCAGCAGTTCAAACAAACCAGCCACTCCTTGGAAACAACATAAAAGACAACAATACACATGGACTTCACCAGATGGAAAACACAGAAATCAAACTGACTACATCTGTGGAAAGAGATGATGGGAAGCTCAAAATATTGAATGATGAAGAAAGCATCAAAAGAAGATGGAAGGAACATGCATAGTCTCTGAACCATAAAGAAACGGTTAATGTTCAACTGTTTCAAGAGGTAGCATATGATCAAGAGCCAACAGAACAAGATACTGAAGGAAGATGTCCAAGCTGCACTGAAGGCATTGGCAAAGAACAGGGCTCCGGGAATGGATGGAACACAAACTGAAATCTTTCAACAAACTGGAGGCATTTACTCATCTAGGCCAAGAAATCTGGAAATGAGCTTCCTGGCTAACTGATTGGACGAGATCCATATTTGTGCCCATTCCAAAAAGAGGTGGCCCAATGGAGTGCAGAAATTGGACAATATAAGATCACATGTAAGTAATATTTTACTCAAGATAATTCAAAAACAGTTACAACAGTACATTGAAAGGGTACTTCCAGAGGTTCAGGCTGGATTCAGATGAGGATGTGGAATGAGGGCTATCATTGCTAATGTCAGATGGATTTTGGCTGAAAGTAGAGTGTACCAGAAAGATGTTTACCTGTGCTTTATTGACTATGTAAAGGTTTTCTACTGTGTGGATCATAAGCCATGGATCACACTTCGTAGTATGAGTATTCTGGGACACTTAATTATGCTTATCAGGAACCTATATATAGACCAAGAGACAGTTGTTCAAACAGAATAAAGGGACACTGAGTGGTTTAAAACCAGGAAAGGCGTGCCAGGGTTGTATTCTTTCACCATACTTATTCAATCTGTATGCTGAGCAATAATACAAGAAGCTGGATTATATGAAGAAGAACATAGCATCAGGATTGGAAGTAGACTCATTTAACAACCTGCAAAATGTAGGTGACACAACCTTGCTTATTCAAACTGAAGAGGACTTAAATACTTACAGATGAAGATCAAAGACCAAGGCCTTCAGTATGGGTTGCACTTCAATGTAAAAAGAAAAAAAATACACACCACTGGACCAATAAATAATACCATGATAAATGGAGAATAGTTTGAAGTTCTCAACTACTCAAGCAAGCAGCAGTAAGAAATCAAACAATACATTGCATTAGGCAAATTTGCTGCACAAGATCTACTTAAAGTGTTCAAGAGCAAAGTTGTCAGTTGGAGGACTAAAGTGTACCTGATTGAAGTCATGGTATTTTCAATAGCCCCATATACATGTGAAAGTTGGATAGTATAAAAAAAACCATAAAAGAATTGATGCATTTGAGTTAAGGTGTTGGAGGAGAACATTAAAAGTACTATGGACTGCCAGCAGAACAAACAAATTTATGTTGGAAGAAGTACAACTAGAATGCTCCTTGGAAGCCAAGATGGTCAGACTTCATCTCTCATACTTTGGGTATATTATCAGGAGGGTCCAGTCACTGGAGAAGGACATCATGCTTGGTAAAGTGGAGGGTCAATGAAAAAGAGGAAGACCCCAATGAGATGAATTGGTACACTGGCAGCAGCAGTGGGCACAAGCTTCACACCCATTGTGAGGATGGTGCAGGACTGTGCAGTGTTTGGTTCTGTTATTCATAGGGTAACTAGGAGTCCGAATCTACTTGAAGGTACCTAACCACAACAACAACGAGTTAGAACTGACTCAAAAGCTCTTAACAGCAACAATAGCATGGGCTATTGAAAGAAACCCTGGTAGTGCTGTAGGAGAAGTACTGGACTGCTCACCCGAAGGTCTGCAGTTCAAACCCATCGGCTGTTTCTTAGGAGAAAGATGAGGCTCTTTGGAAAGAACATTAGGGAAATTTGCTGTGGAGCTGTGGGATAAAGCACGGGAATGCAAGGTCGGTTTGAACCACAGGTAGGAACTGACTCAATGGCACTTTACAACAACAACAAACCCTATATGGAGTCCTGGTATGAGGTTGTAGAATAAACACTGGACCGCAAGGTCCACAGTTCAAGCTCACCAGGCACTCCTCAGAGCCCTATGCAGGGTCGTAATGAGTTGGAACCAACTCGACAGCATTCAAACCCTGTCTGAAACGTCTCAATAGCAGTGGGAGTTGGATGGGTTATGAAAAGGTTTCTGGGTGCTGCACGTGGTTTGTGATCGACTGCTAACCTGGGTTTGAACCCACCCAGTGGCACCCCGAAGGAACGTCCTGAAAACCTGTTTCTGTAAAGACGACCGCCAAGAAAACTCTATGGAGCAGTTCTATTCTATACCACATGGGATCGCTGTGTGTTGGAGGTGACTCGATGGCTGCAGTTTTTGGTTTGGCTTATATATGTTTGAGAACCACCACTGAGAGAGGGAATTGTTGGCCTTCATTAAAAGTGTCAGCAGTGCTTCTGTTGTTCTGAAGTTTCATACTCGGTGCTCTTTACTTGTAAACTGGTTGATGTTCCATAGATGGTATTGTTGTTAAGTGCCGTGGAGTTGGTTTTGATTCATAGCAACCCTGGTATAGGGTTTCAGAGGAGCTGCTGGTGGATTTGAACCACTAACCTTGTGGTTAGCAGTCCAGTGCTTAATCTACAACACCACACCAGGACTCCGTAGATGTTATGTTGTTGTTAAGTGCTGTAAAAAGAGTTCCAACTCATAGCAACCCTATATAGGGTTTCTGAGGAGCAGCTGGTGTATTTCAATGGCCTACCTTGGAGTCCTGGTGTGGCGCTGTGCGTTAATGTGCCAGACTGCAAAGCCATATGAACTGCAAGGTTGGCAGTTCAGGCTCACCAGCTGCTCCTTGAAAACCCTATACAGGGTCGCTATGGGTCGGAATCGACTCAATGGCACTTAACAACAACACCTTGCAGTTAAACCAAATATGCAGTCTAGTGCTTATCTTACAGTGCCACACTAGGACTCCATAGATGGTATTTAGTTGTTGTTAAGTGCCATTAAGTCAGTTCCAACTCACAGTGACCCTGTATAGGGAATTCAAGGAGCGGCTGGTGAGTCTGAACTGCTGACTTTGTGGTTCAAACTGACCTTGTGGTCCAGTGCTTATCCCATAGTGTCACACCAGGATTCCATACATGGTATAGCTACTGCTTCCAGGCTGTGGATACAGAACTAGCTGGTTGCAGGTGAGGCCAGAACGTGGAGAATGTTACTAGAAGGAGCTTAATAAACAACAACATTCAAAAGTCAAGGTTGACAAAGTCAGACAAGGAAAGGCAAACATTATATGCTGAAGACAACAGAAAGACAAACATTAAATGCTGAAGAATCAGATCTAAGTTTTACTGATGTTGTTGTTGTTATTAAGTGCCATCAAGTTGATTCTGACCCATAGCGACCCTGTATAGGGTATCCAAGGAGTGACTGGTGAGCTTGAAACACACATTAAATGCTGAAGAATCAGATATAAGTTTTACTGATGTTGCTGTTGTTATTAAGTACCGTCGAGTCGATTGTGACCCATAGCGACCCTGTATAGGGTTTCCAAGGAGTGACTGGTGAGCTTGAACCACCAACCTTGGGGTTCAAACAACTTTTCAGTCTAACACATTAGCCCACAGTGCCACTCTGGGACTCCAAGTTTTACTAGGTTACTAGAAAAATCAAAGTCTGTCAGAATTGGAAAGAAATGTACCTAAATTGACAACATTCAAGATAACTGTGGTATACCCATGTTGTTAAGTACCATCAAGTCAATTCTGACTCATAGCGACTCTGTATGGGGTTTCTGTGGAGTGGCTGGTAGATTTGAACCACCAATGTTGCAATTAAAACCAACCTTACAGTCAAGTGTTTATCCTACAGCACCACACCAGGCCTCCTGGTATACCTGTATCTCATCTCTATCAGTTAGTGAATTAAATGCAAAGGTAAAAGACAGGTAGCTACTAAATTTAACATAAAATAGTCAGTGAGTGTTCATGGTCTTCCCTCCTGCTTCCATAAACTGGACCATCTGAAAGGCTGCCCTCCGTAATTCCTGTATAACCACTCAGTCATGCGCAAGTGCGTGAGTCTCACCTCTACCAGAACAGGAATCTTCACATGTACATACCTGATTCCCATAAGCATATAGAAAATGACTTCGCGGGTGGAATACCATTCCAATGGGAACGGAGAATGATGAAGGAAACACAAATTTTGGAAATCTACTCTGCAAACTTGGTTGGTTATTTTTTAGGATGTTCACGGAGGCAATGGTTTCTTTCTAGAAAGAGATACATACTGCATGAGTAGGTCACACAAGTTTCCCGAGGATTATTACGAGTACAGTTACAGACTGTCAGATTTCCAGTGACTTGGTGTCTGATTAAGATAGGGACGTATCTCCTAGCCCCCCAGAGAGCTGAAAAGATGAGAAATCATCACCATGTAATTACTCTGCCCTTTCTTCCCACAAATACCCATTTCATGGATGCGAATAGTGAAGTTTGAGAGATTACAAACTCTGTCTAAGATTTATAATAAATGACACAGAGAGGTTTATTATACACCCATCATTTGAACTTGGCACATAGATTCTAGTGTCTATGCTAATAACTACCAGGCCAAATTACTGCTAAACAATGCGGATACCCGCGTCTCTCCCCAGTCCTAATGGATCATGATTTTGAGGGTAAGGACTAAGTTTACATAATTTGGAAATGGCTCTAAGAATAATCATAATTCACAGTTATGGTTTAGAGCCTTTGGAATAGAAAATGTAGATCAATGACTATTAATTTCAATGTTTGTTCAGTTAAACTAGTCATTTTATTGAACCTTAAAATGTGTGCAGACTAGACAGTTCATAGTCTCCTGGAGAATTAGCCATTTTCCTGGAGAATCACTGTGCATACAACATCATATTTTCCATTTTTATCAGCTCCATGTCAGATGGTCAGAGGCAAGAAACTGGCAAGTCTCCTAAACTATACTATTAATCATAAACAGTTTTTCTGTAGCCAATTTTATCAGGTGCTACTGACAAAGATGTGATGCTGTGCGTTCATGCGCTGGACCACAAGGTTGGTTTGAACCATAAGGTCGGTGGTTCAAGCTCACCAGCCGCTCCTCGGAAACCCTTTACAGGGTTGCTGTGAGTCAGAACTGACCCGATGACACTTAACAATGACATTGCCAAAGATAACTAGAATGTGAAAAGAACCTCTGATCAGATGACTTTTCTTTTTTGTACGATTTAGTATTAAGAGCAATCACCTCCGGGATATAAGGCCTACCTGGTTAGAGAGCAGGTAGATTCCATTATTACGCTCTATGTCAATAAGAAATGTGATTACTTTTAAAGGGATGGTTTTCACTCCTCTCGAAAGTTGAGGGATGCAAGGAAGCCATTCGTGGAATGGCTCTGCACTGTAAAAACAGGCACTTGACTACAAAAAGAAAAAGGAAAAGTCAGTACCATTCTACAAAGAACTGTAACGTAGCTCTTTATGGTATAAATTGTGTTTCTAGAAGCACTGTATAGATACAGATTTAATGTAGTTAGGCAAATATCATTAACCCCAACACAAAGAAAAAAAAAATCCTCACAACAGCATTATGAAAAATGGAGAAAAGATAGACGTTGCTGAGGATTTCATTTCACTTGGCTCCACAATCAATGGAAGCCCCAATCAAGACATCAAACGATGTATTGCATTGAGCAAAGACGTCACTTTTAAGACTAAGGTGTGCCCAACAAAAACTATTTTCAATCACTTCATATACACACAAAAGATGAACAATGAATAAGAAAGACTGGAGATGATTTAATGCATTGATGATTGAACTAAGGTGCAAGTGAAGAATGTTAATTATGCCATGGACTCACAGAATAAATAAATCTATCTTGGAAGAAGTACACCCAGAATACTTCTAAGAAGCAAGAGAGTTTGTCACATGTAATTTAGACATGTTATTTGGACAGACTAGTTCCTGGAAAAGGACATCATGCTTAGTAAAGTAGAGGGTCAGAAAAAGAGAGGAAGACCTTCAGTGAGATGGTTTGATACACTGGCTTCCAAAATGGGCTCAAACATAGTAATAATTGTGAGGAAGGTACAGGACTTGGCAGTGTTTTGTTGTTAATGGAACCTAACATCAAGAGATACCACTGAGTGATTGTTAAGCCTCTCAGTTCACAGAACTTCCTTCCTTCCTTTTTAAAGAGTATAGCAATTCATGAAATCATGCAGGACAAAATTTCTTACCTTTAAAAATATTCAATACCATACCTCGCTTAGAGTCTTGTTTCTGTCAAAGGTGATAGAAACATAATCAACTATAAAAAACAAAAGTACAGGAATTACAAACAGCATCTATACCTCTAATAGAAGGGTTAGTGCAAATAAATAGACCAGATAAATAAAAATTCTAGAAGGTAGAACTATCTAGGAATTATAGAATATATAATAAATATAGAATTCCATTAATAAATGCTTGAATACATTTTCTTGCAATTATAACAGCATATGCTTATGGTGTAGTGGTTACGAATCGGGCTGCCAACCTCAAGGTCAGCAGTTCGAAATTCCCAGCTGTTCCACAGGAGAAAGATGAGACTTTCTTCTCCCGTAAAGATTTACAGTCTCGGAAACCCTGTACAGGGTCGCTGTGAGTCAGAACCAACTCCACGGCACATAACCACTACCACCACCATGCTTATTATCTCAGAGCTGATCAAATTTTCTTAGATTAAATAAGCCATCTTTGCTCAATGCATTCTATTTTGATTTTGTCACTTTATTTAATTGATATATGGTATCTAGTGCTATCCACAGGTTTTTGGACAATAGGCTAGTAAGGTTACCATGTACTAGTTTTAAGAAGTACATCGCCAGACATTTCTTTCTAGTTTGTCTTAGTCTGAACGCTTTGCTGAAACTTTAATAGTTACAACAATGAGCTCAAACATATCAAAGATGGCACAGGACCAGACAATGTTTCATTCTGTTACATATAGGAGAAGTCAATCAACAAACAACATATGTAAGAGCAAGTCAAAAAGCATCGCTATAGAGATGAGGACATGGTGAGAGGGAACTGAGGACTCTGGACTCCTGGAAAGAAAAAGGCTGTGTGCTGGTGGCCAGGAGGCAGGCTTGCAGAATGTGCCCTTTGGTTGTTTAAATGATAATATATTCCTGAGTGTTTTTTGTACACTGCCCCTCCCCAAACAAAACAAAACAAAATGGAGGGAACAGAAGCATAGTCTGTTGAATGATGATGCATGGAGGAGATTGTAATTATTGCAATGAAATGATGAGTATAAAACCGATGTTCTCCCATGTAAACTATCACTCAAGTCACAATCAAACTTATTAAAGAGCATTGCTACAAAAATCATAGAAACTTCCCTTAAACAAAATATCAAACTGTGAAGCTATTGTTTCTTGACATAGCCTCTGTCTAGGTCTTTACATTTCTGAAGGCGGTATTTCCATCTCTTTTACTCTTTACTGAAGATTTCTGAGCTTGCCAATTTACACCATGCCAAAATGGCAGTTTTATCAAGAAGGATGCGCATGAATGGAGTGTGAGATCCTACCAGGAAAAGCTGCGACAAGAAGCAGTGGTAAGAGAGACACAAGCCCATGGACTGAGAAAGACTGGCTGGCAGAATGTGACCTTAGGACATTTAAGTGAATAGATATTTTTTTGTTTTGTATGTGTTTTATTTGTGGAATATAAGATGTAAAAGAGAAGCCATAGGGAGAAAGTAGGGTAACTATTGTTACAGGGAGGGGATTGTCATCACTGAGATGACACAACACATACAATTTGTTGAATGTAAAGCTCATAATCTTGTCTGTTAAGCTTCAGTTGATTCACAATAAAAAGTTTAAAAGCAAGAAAAGGCAGTTTTTCATCCTCAATGGATGAACTAGAATCCTAGTAGCAAGACAGTCTGACTTCATGCTAATAGATCTTTAACTCAAATTCACTTTCAAAAGTTTCTTTGTTTCTTCCAAATATTCCTTGAGTCTTGGGAGCAAAAGTAAGAATAAAGGCACAAGAGAAGGGCTGTGGGGTAAGGTTTCCCAATGTGATCCTGGCAGGACAGCCTTTGCTACTTTAGAAAATGAACTGGTGCATTTTCATAAAGGAAAAAAAAACCATTAAAAACCTCAATTCCTCGTTGTAACTTTCCTAGCCTTTTTCTCACCTGCAGAGTTTTCAGTTTTCTTAAAATGTTACCCTGATAAGGTTCTGTGCTCTTTTAGAAAATCTATCAATATTATAAAAGTAAATCCCCAAAACAAACAGTTGCCATAAGTTTCTGAGCTAACCTGTCTTGAATTTAAGTGGCTCAGCAGATCCTCTCAGAAGCCACTATTTTGATTAGACCTTAATTTTGAAGGAACCTTAATGTGATTAAGACAAGAATAGTTACTGAGAGAACTTGTCTGCAGCCAGCTATTGATCATAGAGAAATGTTTCAAGTCATTTCGTTTGGAATAAACCAGAACATGAATATAACTCTAGTAGCAATACTTTTTGACTTCAGGTTACTATATCTTTAACGAAAATTCACCTTCAAGTAGAAGTTTTGTTAAAAAAATGGAGGAGTAGTTAATCTTACAGTCCAGGAACAGAGGACCTCCTGGGACTATCAAGGGAGAAGAGTACAGGTGGGGTGTGGAACCCTATCTAGAGAAGCAGCAACACCAGAGATGGAGGCAGAGATGAGGACATGGAGAGAGGGAGCAGCCGAGGACTCTAGATTCATGGGAAGAGAGGGACTGAGACCTGGCAGCCAGGAGGCAGACTTGCAGAATGTGCCCTTTGGTGGTTTAAATTATTATATATACCTGAGTGTTTTGTTTTTTTTAAAGAGCTAAAATGAATAGAGAGGAATGCTGTTGACTGATGGCACATGGAGGAGATTATAATCATTGTAATGAAACAGAGTGTATGATTTATTGAATGTAAAACTGGTGATCTGCCCTGTGAACTTTCACTCAAATCACAATAAAAATGTAAAAAAAAAAAGAAAGAAAATTCACCTTCAAAACTTTCCTTGTTAGCAAAGCAATTTTCATTATACCACAGTTTCCCTTTGACGTAGTCACCCTATGAAGGTAAACAAACATCTATTAGGCAATATGTATTCTTAAAACAGAAAAAAATCATTGAAAATGAAAAGTTGTAGAGTTTAAATATGTGAAGCAAATCTATATAAATAAAATCAAAGGCTGTAGTATTAGGATAAGAAACAAGATTATACATTTTGAACAATATACAAAGAGGAATAAGAAGAAAAGAAATTTTACATCAATTAGCAAATGTTAATCTGTCCTGAAGGAGCTCTGGTAGCATAGTGCTTACGAGTTGGACTGCTAATCTCATGGTCAGCAGTTCAAAATTACCAGTGGTTCTTTAGGAAAAAGATGAGGCTTTCTGCTCTCATAAAGATTTACAACTTCAGAAACCCTGTAACAGGGTTGCTATGAGTTGGAATTGACTCCACGGCACATAACCACCACCACCATCACAAATCTGCCTTGGAAGATCTACAGCCAGAATGCTCTTTGAAGCGAGGATGGAGAGATTTTTGTCTCAGGTACTTTGGAGATGGGAAGGACCAGTCAGTGGAAAAGGACATGCTTGGTAAAGTAGAGGGTCATTCAAAAAGAGGAAGACCCTCAATGAGATGAATTGACTCAGTGGCTGCAAGAATGAGATCGATCATAATGACTGTCAGGATGGCACAAGACTTGGCAGTGTTTCGTTCTGTTGTACATAAGGTTGCTTTGAGTTGGAATCAACTCAATGGCACTAACAACAATGAAATATACACCCTTCCAGCACCCGCCACATATACTGCCTTTCTGCAGTTGCCAGAAGTTCTTGGCCTTTTATCACGATTCCTCACTAGTTCCAACCAGGCTTGAGGGGACTTCACAGATGCCAGAGAGCAGCAACAAGCAACAGGATGATTATATGTTGTGCATGTTTTCCCCACGTGAGCATCTTTTCAGTTGAAATGTACCGGAGCTTTATATGGTAACTTTTTTTTTTCTTCTTAGTATTTCGTAACATGACAATTCATGATAGAATTGGTATATTAGAATTGATGAAATATATTATCATAAAGATGTAACTAAGTCAATTTAACTTCCCAAATAGGGTAAATGTGCTTGAAGGGAACCCCTGCTAACTCTTTTCATCTTCTGTTTGCTGATTTGTGATCCAGGATAACGCTGACAAGAATGAGTAAACCTGTGTCCTTAGCACAGTACTTGGTTGAGGAGAGGAGAGTACGCTCTCTTATTGTATAACATGTCTTCCTTCCCCCATTTCCCCCAACTGCTGGCTAGCTGATTCTGAATCACAGTGGCCCTGTAGGACAGAACAGAACTGCTTAATAAGGTTCCCAAGATGGTAAACCTTTATGGAAGCAGATAGCTTCATCTTTCTTTTGTGGAGTGGATGGTGGGTTTGAACCTCTGACCTTGTAGCTAGTAACCCAATACTTAACCCACATCACCACCAGAGCTCCTTAGAATATACATTGTTGTGTTATTGTTGTATGCCTTAGTCATTCAAAATCCCAGCAACCCTGTGAGAGCGGCTGGTGGATTTGAACCGCTGATCTTGCTATGAATCGGAGCAGACTCAGTGGCACTTAATAACACAGCAATATTTATTAATTTCCTTTATTAGTGTAACTTATTCAAGTGTTTCAAAAAGAGGAAACATTTCCAGATGTCTGTAGTATTGAGTATTGTTGTTAAGTGCCATTGAGTCAGTTCTGACCCATAGCAATACTGTATAGGGTTTCCAAGGAGTGGTTAGTGAGCTTGAACTACCAACCTTGCAGTTCAAACCGACTTTGCAGTCCAGTGCATTAACCCACTAGTCTCTAATAGGCCTTGGTAGGCTTTCCTCAGTAAAAGCATAAGTGTGCTGTTTTTAGGGTCTCCAAAAATGCCAAGACACTCAAATAGTTCAAAGACAGATTGATATGAGATATGTATACCCCTTTCAAAGAAGCCCATGTAGTACAGTGATGAAGAGCGGCTAAGTGCTCAGTTGCTAACTGAAAGGTTGGCCGTTCAAACATACCAGTGGGTGAAAGATACTGCCGATTGTTTCCTTAAAGATTTCAGCTCTAATCTGTCCTAGAGGATTGCTAAGAGGATCCGATAGGACAGGATGGGTTTGGTTTGGATGCTCCTTCCACGTTGGCCTTCTCTGTGGAAGTTTAGAATCTACAGACCTGGGAATCTTCAGTAGACATACTGGAGGATGCAGAGCAGGGTCAGAAACCATTTATTGGCCTTCTTTCTTTGTAACTGATGGATGATTCTTTTTACCTCTGCTGATGGAAAGCTTTGGGATTGGATGTTTTAGAATATAGGATTCTATTTTTTCTTTCTTCTTCTTTTTTTTAAGTAACTATCTTTTACCTTAGTATGTATGTTGAACTGTATGTATTACTAGGACATACTCAAAAGTTACTCTCTGTATTGTACCTCCTCTCAAACAAGGATTTTGTTGTTGTGTGCTACTGAGTTACTTCTGATTCATAGTGACCTCATGCACAACACAACAAAACACTCCCCAGTTCTGTGCCTTTGTTGCTGCCACTTTGTCAATCCATTTCACTGAGGACTTTTCTTCTTTTTTCTCTAACTCTCCACTTTACCAAGTGTAATGTCCTTCTCATCTCTTAACTCACTAAGTAAACACAAGCCTTTTAATTAACCCTTAGAAATGTAAAGTTTCTTACCCTTTCAAAACCACAAAATTCTGCCCTTGAAAACTGGAAGGAAAAAAAAAAGAAACCTTTATTTTGGCTTGGACAAAAATTGATAGTAGGTGTAACAAAACATGACAATTTAAATTATACCAAAGGAAAGTATGTTGTTGTTTTACATATCGTAGTAATTAGGATTCTTAGTCACTAAAACTGATCTCTGAAGTACTTTAAACAAGATCCTAGAGACACGCCTCTCCACCCTCTCAGACTTTGCATTCTTCCAACATTTAGTTAATTAATTTATCCCTTAACTTATTTCCAGAGAGGATTTGAGACCAAAAGCACACAGTTTAATGATTCCTATAATGGGGTTATGGAAGTGTCCAGGAAGACACTGTTCTTGTTACCTGGTGTTGTTAGTTATAACCAAGATACCACGAGTGATGGCTTTAACACTCAGAAACTCATTCTCTCAAGTCTACAAAGCTCAAAATCCAAACTCAAGGAGCGGGCGCTGGGGGAGGGGCTTCTCTCTATGTTGTCTTTTTGGCTTCTGCTCAAAGACCACCTTCATGTGGCTTGTCATCCTCTCTTCCCCCATCCCTGATTCCCTGCTTCCTTGTTTAATCTCTTTTATATCTCAGAAGAAATTGACTCAATCCTGTCTCATTAACATAACAAGTGCAACCCATTCCAAAATGGAACTCTAACCATAAGCATTATTGTTGTTGTTAAGTACCAGTGGTGTCAGTTCTGACTCATAGTCTGTATACGGTTTCTGAGGAGCAGTGGGTGGGTTTGAACTGCCAACCTTGTGGTTTGCAGTCCAGTGTGATCCTACTGTGCCACACCAGGAGTCCAACCATATTCATAGAGGTTAGAATTTACAATATAACAATATATATTGTTCATGCCATAACACACACTAAATGTACTGCCCATTTGGGTTTAGGGGGCACATACTAGCCTGTTACTTTCTACTTTGTTACTTTATTTCTTCTGCCCCACCCCTTGCAATGCAGAAATCTGGGTTTTATGATACTCCAACCCTGCTGATGTCTCGGTGTTTTCTTTTGTAAAAAGTTTATTTTACTTTTGTTGGTGTTGTTTGAGACTATACACAGGAGAGTACACACCAGTTGGATAGTTTCTACGTGTACCGTTCAGTGATATGGACCACATTCTTCAAGTTGTGCAGCCCTTTTCACCCTCCTTTTCTGAGTTGTTCTTCTCCCCCTAAGTTTCCTCTCTGACCTTTCAGGTTGCTACCGTCAGTTATGCAACATAAGACAGTGTAGCTCGCCTGACTTCTTCCACTCGCTGCTTTTACAATTACAGAAGAGGTACAACCAAAGACCCGGTCTATTGGTTGATTGAGTGACAGATGGTGCTTTCTCATGGTTGATGAGGAAAGACTGAGGGCTGTGGATAGTCATGGTGGTGGTGAAGGTGGTGTGGAGTCAGTTCCGACTCCTAGTGACCCTGCCTAGGGTTTCTGAGGCTGTAAATGTTTACGGAGGAAGAAAGCCTCATCTTTCTCCTGCAGAACGGCTGGTACTTTTGAACTACTGACCTTAAGGTTAACAGCCCATTTCATAACCACTAAGATTCTATAGAGCTCCTTGTGCATATTCATATACCTGGAGAAAGATGCTCATCACCATGTTAAGAAAAATCTGCCTCACAACCAATAAAATTGTTCCCTCTTTACACCCTTTATCTCTTCTCCAAGGAGCCCTGGTAATGCAGTCATTATGAGCTTGGCTGCTAACCAAAAGGTCAGTGCTTCAAACTTACCATCAGAAGTGGCAGTCAGCTTCCGTGAAGACGACAGCCTTGGAAACACTCCGGGGAAGTTCTCATCTGTCCTCTACGGTCACTAAGGCTCACCATTGGCCTGCTGCCAATGAGACCTTTTCTCCTCCTGCTCCTAAATGTTTATCACTGTTGTGAGTTACCATGAGGTTCATGGAGCTGCCCGACAGGCTCAAACTGCCAACTTTTCAGTTAGCAGGCAAGTGCTTACCCACTGAATTACCAGGACTCCCTAAATATTTATCACTGGTCTAGTTTCTATTCTGATAAATTTTGGTAGGGATGTGTTACATGTTTAAGAACTTGATGGCTTGCATAGTCTCACATAAACCTATATATATTCCCCTTCTTTCAACTTAGTTTTATGTTACTTTGTAATACTACATTACCTCAGCATATTTAGGGGGAACATATGCTGCTATAACTCAAAGAGTGAAAAAATATTTTCTACACACATGTATTTAAAACTTACAAATTTGTGCAACAATAATACTAGCATTGTTTCCAAACTCTGTATTTAGTAGTACCAGGCAAAGGACTAAGACGGTATACTATTGCTTTTACATTGTTTAAAAGGAAGAAGCATTTCAGCTCTGAAGTGGACTGAACATAACACAAAAGTCAAATCTTTCTTCTTTCTGTGACAGAAGACAGTTAAGGTTATCTAAGACTTGCAAGGAAATTCACCTACCTTTAAGGCTGAGGCTGATGGGGAACGAAGATCTCTACTTACAAAAAGACCCAAAGAGGTGAGAATAACTAGAAAATGATTTGTTAAAACTATATCCACCACTGAAAGGTCTGTGAGGTCTAAAGGAAGAAAAATCACACCATGGGTTAAAAGTAGGGAAAAAAAAAAAGTGAACTCTTCAACAAAGCAAAGAGATTTCATAAATATTTATCAAATCACTGACGGAAGAGAAATGCTGAAGTTAGGAAAATTACCTTCTTCAAGTTCGGAATAGATATTCTCTGTCATGTTATACCACGTGGTGTTATCATATTTCCAAAATCCAGAAAAGCTTAGGCCTATGTAAATGCCTAACATGGAGAAAAAGAAAGAACAATGAAGGGGAATTGTTACAATTAAGTTTACAAAGCTATGAACTCAGTTTTATAGCACTAGGTCTTTAGGGGCTAGAATCTAGCTGTATCGGGTCCATCTTTTGCCCTATTCTCTTGCTCAACCCTCCTGCCTACTCCCCTCCCCTCAATTTGAATATCACTAAAGGGTAGGGTCACTTTTATTAATATATAACAGCTTCTGATTCTGCCTTCCCCAAATTTAATGATACATTTCATGGGTAAAGTCAAGGGTAGTGAACAAGCTAGAAAGACGATTTCTTTCACCATCTTTTTTTAATGAGGAAAGAGAAAGAAAATCAAATTACTATTACTAGTCACAAACATTCAGATCCATCACCATGGAATCAATTCTGACTCATGGCAATCTGTGTGTCATTACCGAGTCCCAGTGCCGTTGAGTACGTGCCAGCTCATAGCGACCCCACAGGGACAGAGTAGAACTGCTTCCTACAGTTTCCAAAGCTGTACAGCTAGACAGAAGCAGACTGCCTCGTCTTTCTCCTGAAAAGCAGCTGGTAGGTTTGAGCTGAAAATCTTTTGCTTAACCCACTGCACCAACAACTGTCCAAGTAAAGTGTGTTTCTTGGCTGCAATCTTTATAGAAGCAGACTGCCAAACCTTTCTTCTGCAGTGCCCCTGGTTGGTTCAAACCGCCAACCTTTAGGTTAGTGGCTGAGTGAATGCCATTTGTGTCACCAGGCACCTTATTTTTATTGTTAGAGATAAGAAATATGACCATGGTGGAAAGTTACAAAGAAATGCCAGACAGTTCTATCTTATTCATCTTAATATGAGTGCACTGGGAATAAAAAATTCAATGAAGGATTTATAGATACTGTTTTGGGGACTCAACTGGGGTAAAAATTCTGGTGTTGACAAATTTAAATATTTAATAAACAGAGAGCAACAAAACATGGGGTTAGGGTTGTAGTTCCAAGCATGCCATGGCAAGCTGTATATGGAAGTCAAATCTACAAGCCAAGAGGTTAAATTTAGAAATGAAGTCACCAAACTAGAGCACAAACCAAGAGATTTATAGTCAGGTTGGGAGAGACACAGAAAACTGGACACAAAATCAGGGTTGAAAAGAACCAGTAAGAGCTAAGAAGGATAAGAGAAATACTATGGCTTAAAGCCCTTGGCTGAAATAATGGAGGGTCATCAATAGCCAAGTAACTGCTTGAGAATCATAAAATAAGGCTGTACTGGAAAATATCAAGACATTTACTTTCTCATACTGGATCAGGGTGGGCTAGAGTAGAGTGAACTTAGAGGAGAATGCTAGAATATGAGGCCAAAGAAGTGAACAGATCTCATAGGGCTTTGGAGACCAACCTTAATGGCAAAAGGACACTACTGAACTGTTTGAAGTGATAGGATCTGGTTTCCTTTAAGAAAATCATACCTATGGGCTGTACTGGGGCAACAGGGAGACTTCCTGTTTTAAACTTGGCTCTTTAGAGATGTAAAACAAATGAAACTTATATATGTGTATATATAAAGACAAGTGTATCATAAGGAGATGGCTCACAGTTAGAGAGGTGGCAAGTCCCAAGTCCATGGGTCAGATGAACTAAGAACAGTAGGTCAGGCAGCAGACAGGCAGGCATTTGGGGCAGGTAAGATGGAAGGAGAGTCCTGGTGTGGCATTGTGGGTTAATGCATTGGACTGCAAGGTAGGTTTGAACCACAAGGTTGGCAGTTCAAGCTCACCAGCTGCTCCTCAAAAACTCTACATAGGGTCACTATGAGTCAGAACCGACTCGACGGCACTCAACAAAAACAAGAACAAGATAGAAGGCTGCTGACAATGCTCAGAATCCGTGGGCAATAGAGTAGATCACTGTCTCAACTTCAGATGACAAGCCAGATGCAGGATCTAGACCCAGCAAATAGCAGTAAGTTGTACCTGAATGTCCAATATATAGAAAGCAGGCTCCACTCCTGGGGAAACATCCTTTCATTTGGTTGGCTGCTCCTAACAACCATCATCATGGAGTTGATTACATTAGATCCCATCATGGGATAACTACATCTCAACTGCCAATCCACCAAGAAGCCTGGCCCAGACAAGCATATACAAAACCTTAACTATCACACTATCTAAGGGACTGTGAATTCTAGAAGAAAAACATCTTAACTTGATGAAAGGTTTTAAAAAAGGATGTTGCTGTTGTTAAGTGTCATCAAGTTAGTTCTGACTCATAGCAAGCCTGTATAGGGTTTCCAAGGAGGGGCTGGTGGATTTGAACCACCAACCTTGTGGTTAGTAGTCAAGTGCTTATCCTCCAGTGCCACATCAGGAATCCTAAGGATAGACCCTGAAGGTAGCACCATTCTGGAATGGGTGAGAATAAGAAGAGTCAAGAGTGTGTCTTAGGTTTCAGTTTTGAGCATTTGGATGCTCACTGGGATGTGGAATACAGGGGAGGTAGAGATTTTAGAAGAAAAATCTATAGTTCTGGATTAGATTTACTAAATATGAGACATCAAGAAGAAATATAAAACAGACAATAGTATATATGAATTTGATCTCAAAGAAGCAGTCGGCACCAAACACACAGATTTGGAAATCATCATCAGTGAGGATGACTTTGGTCCTATGAGACTGGATTAAGTTTGCTGGTGAGAGAAAGTGGTTATGTAAGAAAAGCATCAAGGACAAAGCCTTGGATTCACCAGCATTTACTGTTGTTGTTGTTGTTAAGTGCCATTGAGTTGGTTGCAACTCATAGTGACCCTCTACAGGGGTTCTGAGAAATGACTGGTGGGTTTGAACCAGCAACCTTGCAGTTAGAAGTCCAGTGCTTATCTGACGGCACTAGCTAGCCTAGCAAACTGAGAAAGAGTGACCGATGATGTAAGAAAAAAGCAGTAGAGGGAAGAAGCATCAAGAAAGTCAAGAGAAGAAAAGTGTTTTGAGAGGTATCAATGTTGCTGAGAGGGAAAGTACAATGAGGATAAAGAATTAGCTATATGAACTCCTAGTGTGGAACTGTAGAATCAGCACTGGACTTCAAATCACAAGGTTGGCAGTTCAAACCCACCAGCTGCTCCCTGAAAACCCTACACAAGGTCACTATAAGTCAGAACCGATTCAACATCACTTAATAACAACAACATATGGAGTTCTAGTCTGGCACTATAGGGTAAGCATTGGACTTCTAATTCCAAGGTGGTTCAAATGTACCAGCGGCTCCTCGGAAACCCTGTACAGGGTCACTATGTTGGAACTGATTCAAGGGCACTTAACAAAAACATATGAAGATCATGCATGACCTTGCAAAGAAATACTTCAGCAGCATGGTGGGAATAAAAGTCTGACTTTAACAACATGAAGATTAAATGGGAGATGAAAAAACAGCAGCATCTACAATAAATTTTTCCACAAATTTTGTTTGAAGAGAAAAAGAGAAATTTGTTGTTGTTAAGTGCCATTGAATCAGTTCCCACCCGTAGCAACACTGTACAGGGTTTCCAAGGAGCAGCTGGCGAGCTTGAACTGCAGACCTTGTGGATGAGAAATAGGGGTGGGAAAAAGTTAAATAAATGACAATTTTACTTAAGATGGAGTGTATGCTTGTGTGCTCATGGCTATGATCCAATAAGGAGAGCTTGATGATGCACAAGAGAAAGGTGACAATTACAGAGATAAAACAGGAGCCAGGTTATTGAGATGGCTGGAGGAAAGGGGGCTGAGTGCATAAAGGATGAGGAATGGCCCGCAGTAGCAAGCAGCAGAGAAACACCAGGTACAAAGGTGAAGCATGCAAGGTCATATGCAGGTAGGATTTGCAGGTGCAAGGAGGAAAGCCTTCCTGGGATCAGTTCTTACTTTCTCTGTGAAATATTAGACAGAGTCACAGCTAGGAGTGAGAATGAAAAGAAGGCAAAACAGAGTGTCCTCGGAGTGCAGAGACAGCTGATAACATCACTTTGGAGACTGGGAACAGAAACATACTAGAAAAGAGTGATAGGATTTCTGGGCAGTGCTAAATATTCATTTGAGATTTGTAATCAGGAATTTAAAGTGAGACCAGTAAGTGTGATTTTTAAATGGGGTCAATGTGTAGTTCTTTTTTCTAGGAATATATATATATATATATGTATATTTTAAAGTTTTTATTGTGAATTATGTATTAGTTTACATGGGAGAACATTATTTTTACATTTATCCTATCATATTTCATTGCATTGCAATGATTACACTCCCCTGCATGCATCATCAAACAACAAAAGGGTACACCCTTCATGCCTGTCCCCCAGCCTCCAGCACACAGCCCCTCTCCCTCCCTGAGCCCAGAGTCCCAGGCCGCTCCTCTCCACGTCATCGTCTGTGCCTCCATCCCTGGTGTCACTGTTTCCCCAGACAGGGTCCCACTCTTGGCTTTTCTATTTGCTCCTCCAATTCAGGAGTGGAGGAAGTTTTAACTGGGGTTGGTCAGACAAAGAAGGGAGAGAAGGCCAAGGTAGCTACAAAAAGATTTATAAAGGTAGACTATACATTTATTTGAATACCTTCTTTAGACAGCATAAGAGACAACTATACACATGGACCTCGCCAGATGGAATACATAGAAATCAAATTGACTACATCTGTGGAAAGAGATGATGGAAAAGCTCCATATCATCAGTGAAAACAAGGCCAGGGGCAGATTGTGGAATAGATCATCAATTGCTCATATGTAAATTCAAACTGAAGTTGAAGAAAATGAAAACAAGTCCACGAGAGCCAAAATATGACCTTGAATATATCCCACCTGAACTTAGAAATCATCTGAAGAACAGATTTGATACATTAAACACTAAAGACTGAAGACCAGAAGAGTTGTGGGGTGTTATCAAGAACATCATACATGAAGAAAGCAAAAACTCATTGAGAAGACAAGAAAGAAGGAAAAGGTCAAAATGGATGTCAGAAGAGACACTGAAACTTGCTCTCCAGCGTAGAGATG